TTAACGAAGATTCTTATAACGAAGTCCTGATCGGCTGGATCGGCAACTTCATTATATCGAGGTGTGACTGTATTTTATATATTTTATAATAGAATAATATAAAAAGGATCATTATGACTGGTAACCTTTTAAAGAAATTTCACTATGCTTAGAAAAGCCACAACAACTTTACTGTACTAATGAGACACGTGAATTCAATTAGATTAGATAATATTTTTGTAATACTGCTAGTTATTTCACTGCACCTATTATACGCGTGATGATAGTCAGTAATTTTCTTAGCGAAAATTAAAATGCTGATATATAGTAAGAAAAGTAATATATCTGTTTTATTTTGGGACATCTATAGAGGAAGAAAATAGATTAACATTGTGATGACATATTTCAAAAAGCTAGATGAGTAATAAAATCAACATATCTTATTATAACTTTATGAAATATGCAAATTCGTTTGATCAGGAATATTAATGGTATAATTATTGACAAATTTTATTAGTTTCGCTTAATTATTTGCTTATATTTACACAAGACAGTTAAAAGGATTCACTAACTTGGCCTGTTCCTTTATATATATTTTTTTAAGATCGATTTAAAAGTATTTTTTTGGAAAATTACATTAATATGATTGCATCATGAAAATCTGATCAATAGATCCCCTTAATTTAATAATAAAAAATTTAATACTATTCATATATAAAGATCATCAAGGGGCTATACATAATTTGAGAATGTGTGAGAAAGTTTAAGAATAAATTATTTTGCGCAATTACTTATTCCTGTAATACATGTAATAATTACTATAATATTACTATGTATTTATTTATCAAGTTACAATAAACTTAATTGAAAAAATAATAGTACACACTTTGCTTCACACAATCCCGTTACTTATTTCATGTGAAAAAATTATAAAATGTCTAGTAAATTTGTACCATTACTTTATTGATTAAATTACTTGAAGACATTTACATCGCTTATAAATTCTTTTCGTCACCTTCTTACACCTTTTGCAATACAGATGTGAGTGATGATCACATTTCTCACAAACCTTATATTCATATTTCTATCCCTAAATATATACTATTTTTCAAATTAGTTCTAGTCTTTTAGCTTCTTATAAGCTTATTATTCTGATTGTTTGGTAAGAAATTCAGCATGATATATTAATAAAATTACCAAAATTTTCCTAAGAAAAAAAGTAAGTTATAAAGTCTCCTGTATTATATGATAATTGTAAATACTTTTCATGTTTTCAACTAACAAAAACATGATCTATAATAAATACTGATGAACATTGTGTTTGGGCTCATTCAATTGCACAGAAGCAGAATCAACATCCGGTTAATATTTTTTATACATATAAGATCAGCATCATACTTGGCTGGATTATATAATGACAAATTTTAGCAGTCTAAAATCATTCCTTCAAATAAACCACACTCAGATGCAACTATCTCCTCTACTTTAGACTCAGAAAAATAACTTGAATTAGAAGAAATAGATTCAGTTTCTGTCTCTGTTTCAGAATAGCTTGAATCGCAATATTTGCCTAGATCAATTGAGACATTCTAATCAATATTGTATGTTTCAAAATTTGGCCTATTAGCTCGTAAATATTTACAATAAAGTAATAATTTTCTTAATGCTATTCTTCACATTATATCACTTAGGAGTATACATTTATATTTTAGTTTTAGGTTAATGTATTCTTCAATTCTATCCTTTACACGTCATAATTACATTATTCCTAAATCACATTGTATTCAGGCTTATCAATAACTAAAAACTTCTCAGTTGATTTTCCTAAACATTGAGGTAAAGTATTACTTTGTGATTTTAAATCAAAGATATCTGAAATAAAAATGGAAATTTTTTACTATAAAGTTAACCTCTTACCATTACTTTCTTGTCAGTATTAGTTACTCCAATACCAAGACTTTTTACTGCAGAATATTTTAATTCAAACTCTTAGATACTGTTAACGTGTAGTCCTTGCGAACTACGACTGTTAGACGGGGTATTCGAGTGGCAGTTCTTTTTAATCGGACAGTAATATTTCAATGATTCACAAGTTTTAACTCAGATTATCGGCAAGAAGTGTTTAATTTATTTATCGGTAAATGACAATTCCAAATAATGACTACAAGTATTTTATAAGTTGAAACAGTGTGTTTATTCGCGAGTGAGTATGTATATATATATATATAGAATAAAATAAAAGAAGGAGGTAAGAGAAAAGAAAAAGAAATAAATAAAGAAAATAGGATAACACAACGGGGTAGGCCAATTGCCTTTAAACTAGTGAGAATTACTAAGGAAATACAATAGGCCTAAGTGCCTTTGTTACTACTGAAAACTAAACTTGTCTCTCTTTTTAATTGAGCTAAAGGACTTCTTATTTATATAAAATAAAGTACATAGAAGAATATAACTAATATATTATATATGTCTACTATATTAACTATATCTACTATGTCAACCATGTCGATTATGTCTAATATATCACATATGTCAGACATGTCGGAAATGTTACAAATGTCACTTTGGTCGATCGTCTGCGCCACATACGCTGCGTCACGTTCACCCGTCTACAATACATATAAATCCATTTTTCTAACAAGCGTTTTATTGATACTATTTAAGCAGGATTTAGGGTCAATCAGTGTTTCAACAGTTATTTTAGCATCAATAAATATATAATCTACTATTACTCTTCTGCAAATTTCTCGAACCACCTCATCTTTTCATATATTATTTATATTGCAACATTTTTTAAAATCCTATATCAGTAAATTCTTTAGAATAAATAGTATTAGTTCAGGCGAAAGAAGATCAAGAAAATTAGCTATATGCATTATATATAGTTAGATTTTTTTTTATTCATAGCATTATATAGATAACAGATTTTCTCAGTCAATTCTTTTAAGATTTTGATATATTTAATTATATCATATTCTAATGCTATAATCTGAAAAAAATAAACTGAATATTTATTGCATTAGAAAAAAAATAATATAATAATATATGCAATCTGACTACTTATCACTATCTAGCTTATATAGGTAAGCTAGATATATAAGACACACATTCGTTTGGATATTTCTCTAAAAGCTTGATCCTAATAGCTCTTTTTTCAACCTCTTCATGGAAAATACCATCTTTGACCATATTTTTATATGTTGTAACACACCAATGTCTATATGCCAAACTGATTATATTATCAGATAAGATTTAGCACTTAGTATCTATTAGGTAGAGAGTTTTTTTCTCTATTTCAATAAGGGATATTATGTGATCTTTTGCTCAAAAACTAATATTTTTAGTATAGAATACTTTCTTTCCAAAGAGGTAATCCTGATATACTTGGATTAAAGGATTGAATATTTTGTTTTCTAAAACAGGATCATCTAGTAAAGACCTGTCTAATGATAGGAAGTATGTATCTGTTACCATTTTACTCATACCCCTCTTACTAACTCTCTTATGTGTAGGCTTCATGATCTTATTAGCTAAGATATTGTGGTAAGACTTTGCTCAGATATGAATTGATTTTATGATCATCTTTTCATTGAGACACTCATCTTTGAAAAGCCCAATAGTCTTTAAATCATTAAGGTTGAAAAGGTCTGATCTTTTTTTTATATCTTTATAAATATCTTTTGTTTCAGTTATAAATATAAAAGAGTCTATATCCATATAGCCAAGCTTGACTTTATCCCCATATTTGTCCTTAACATAGTCATACCAGAAGCAATATCAAAAGTTTGCTAAGGCCTAATACTGATGCATCAACTATGATAGGTTTGTTGAGAATCACACTAGCTTTTTCTATATATGCTCCTACTAACATATCTCTAAGCTGACATTCATATTTAAAAGTAGGCTTACGAACTTTATTAAGGAATTTCTTCTTATTTTTCTCATTATTCATAGTTATAAGCTTAACATCCTGATATTTACGAATATTTTTCATAGTCTTACCATATACTGAATTGTTCATAAGCTTGAAGAAATTCTTTTCAAAAGTATTCTTAGCTTTCTAGTGCAATTTAGTATTTTTTGTAATATATGGAGCAAGCCAGTTAGTCTAGTCGAAAGATATAATTTCTGTAATTTTATCTACAATCATTTCTAGCTTCACATAATACTGAAGTTCTTAGTAATACAGAGGGTGGACAAAAGTATCCGCACACCTCTATAAACGTGAATTAATGCTAGTAAAGTCATATGATCACAATAACAAATTGCGTTTACATGACACTTAAGTGTTTACTTATATTATAAAAATAAAAGAATATCAAATTTGTTTTTTTTTTAATAAATTTTTCTTCTCCGAAAATCTAAAAAAAATGGTAAAAACCAAAGAATTAACTGCAATGATTTTCAAGCGAAAAAAAATCTTCGTACATTATCTTGGCCAGCTCAAAGTCCGATCTTAATCCAATTGAGAATCTTTGGGCTGAAGTCAAGAAAAGCATCCGAGCTTATAAAAAACCTCTATCTAATCTTGCTGATCTTGACTGATATGTTAAAAAGGCATGACAAGAAATTCCGAAGCATACTATCGAAAACCTAGTCGATAGTATGTCACAACGAATTCAAGCGGTGATTGCGGCAAATGGTGGCCCAACTAAGTACTAGTTACTTAGTACAAAATGTAGATATTAATAAGCTTTAAATAAAAAATTAATTGACTTTTTATTGTTATTGCAAAAATATTTTAAGTTTTATATTGAGTGAAAAAGTGTGCGGATACTTTTGTCCACCCTCTGTATATTATATTAAATCGTATTATAAAATGGTTGACTTTTGCTATCAAGGTATTACATACATCTTTTTTCAACTTTTGGTTAGAAATATAATTACGCGGCAAAAAATCAAAAACTATTGATTCCTTTGAAAGGGATTTATCTATTATCCCTACAAAAGAAACAAAAAAAAAAAAACCCCCTTAAATATTGGTTGCGCCATATTCGCTCGTCCCCCCCCCCGTTTTGTAATTACCTGGAAATCTTTCTAATGGCTTTCTTTACGCTGTTATTAACCTTCCTTTTCCATTTCTTTAAAATGCTCTTGTTATTTTTATTATCACCATCATCTTTGGCGACTACGATTTCACGTTCAGTACCTACAATTAAAAAGGAAATGAATCGTAAATCGTACGTTCAAGAATTAAAAACATTTTGTTTCGATAAAACCCAGGTAATACTTTGATTAGCCATTCTGTTACCATCAGTAACATTATCCACAACGGTTGAACTACTGGTAGCCGTACTTTCCAAGACCTTTGCGTCAGGTATTTCAGTCGTTGGAAGAGAAGTTGAATTGCCTGGTAATGTCGATTCGTCAATTCCGTCTTGTTTTTTTCCTTTGTCAACATCATTGATGACATAAGGCTGTAAAGCACTTGTAGTAGGCTGTGATGATGAAATTCGGTTAATAGATGTTGTTGATGATTTTCGTGTTGGAGTATTTGGTGGCGTATCTTTAGCATGATAAATTTCATCAGATTTATTGTTTTCGATGATCCCATCATTGTTTAAAGGAGAAATTTTCTTGTTATTATTTGAACCTGCAATAACATTGCTTTCACTATCGGTACTATTAACAACAGTTTCATCAGGTACAGCAGCAGTTTCGTTAGAATCTTTGTAATTTACGTCGTCATTAAGTTTGGAAGAATCAACTGAAGAAGAAGTTTTATTAGAAGAATTGAATTTCTGTCTTGTAAGTAACAAACCAGGAGTCGCGCTAGGTGTAAAAGACGATGAATCGGTCGTTTTTAGCGTAGGATTTGATTTTAATTGTTTAAATTCCATTTTTTTTTTTATTTTTTTTTAAAAAAAAAAGTGAGATCAAGAAAAAGAACTAAATAATCTTTAACAAGATAAAGAAAAAAAGAAAAAGAAAAAGAAAGAAAAAAAAAAAAAATAATATATATATATTATAGTTTATTTGATCATAATGTAATAAACTTTTTGCGATGCTTTGACTCAATTAATTAATCAAAAAAAAAAAAATAATAATAATAATATATTATCATTAAGAGATGGGTTCCTGAAATATTTTTTTTTTAACGACCGCTGATAACATTGTCACATGATTTGTATTTTCTGAGAGAGAATTTTCCGAAAAGCAAAAAACAAAAAGCGAAAGCGAAATTTCATATGAAATAAATGATCGGCAAAACGGAAGTTCATTGAAGTACACGTGCGAGTAACTGCTGTGCTACTAGATGACAAAACCCAAAATCGGGCAATTAAAGTTACTTAAAAATCTTTTCTTTATAATAATAATAAAATGTCATATATGAGAAAAATACCTGTTCGAACAATAACTTTCTTAACAAGTACGATAGTAGGAATTTATTTGATCGATGATAAATATAATGCGCGAACCTTACAAAGAAATGGTTTGACGGTTTGGAATGGGTATTAATATTTATTAAATTTCGTTTTACCAATTTTTTTTTGATTAAATTTTTTATTTTTTTTGATAGATTATGTATAGGACTAGATTACAAAATTAACTTTCGACCTGGTAAAGGAGATAAAATTGATGATTTGCATGAAAGAGTGGCTCAAAGGATATTAAGAGTTTGTAAGTCTAACGGGTAATGTATTGATTTTGAAAAATTTTGACGCTCCTAATTAATATTTGTGTATATTTATATTATTTTATTTTATTTAGAATAAATTAATTTATTTAATTCTCTGACATCAAATATTTTATTTTAAATAGTGGATTATATATTAAGTTAGGGCAAGCCATACAAGTACAATCTGCTATTTTACCACCAGGTAAAACCTTTTTTTTTTTTAAAAAAAAAAAAAAAAACAAAAAAACAAAATTCATTAAAAGTTTTTTTTTTTTTTATAATTAATTAAAAGCTTATCAAAGAACATTTAAAACGATGTATGATGATGCGTAAGTGTGAAGTTTTCTTCATTCTGATCTTTTAAAAGAAATCATTAAACATATTTATTTTCTTTATTTTGATGTTCAAAGACCAGCTGTTGATTTTGATCAGGTGATAAAGATATTTCATAATGATTTTAACTGTCATCCGGACGATATGTTTGATGATTTTGAACGTACCGCAATAGCTTCAGCTAGTGTTGCTCAAGTTCATCGTGCAAAACTTAAAGATGGAACCCCCGTTGCTGTTAAAGTTCAAAAACCAGATATTGGGAAACAGATGGTAAAAATTTAACTTTTTGTAAAAGTACGTTTTTAACATATCGTGGAATTAATTAGATGTTATTCTTATTTAGAATTGGGATTTGATGGCTTATAAAATGCTAATGCATGTATACGAATATGTTTTTGACCTTCCTCTTACCTGGACCGCCGAAACGCAAGACAAACATTTAAGGGCTGAAGGTACTTTTGAAAATCTTTATTTAAGTTATGTCATCCTTTTTCTGATAAATACCTTTCTTCCCAAAAAAGTGGATTTTATAAACGAGGGTAAAAATTCCGAAAAGGCAAAGATGCATTTTGAGAGCATTAGATCTTTGAGGGATCAGGTTTACGTTCCTAATGTATTTTGGGATTTTACAAGCTCCCGAGTTTTAACCTGTGAATGGATTGATGGTGTTAAAGTCACCGATAAAGAAGGATTAGAAAGGCATGTATGAACTATGTATGAAAGATTGGCATGACTTATAATCTTAATTTTCTTTGAATTTATCATTAGATATGGTTTTAAATTAAACGATGTGATGAAAACTACAATTGATATCTTTGCGTCACAGATTTTTCTTACCGGTAAGTTAAATGCGTACCCGTTCGATTAAACAATTATGAATATTATTATGATTGACATTTGCTCGATCATTATTTAGGTTTTGTGCATGGTACGTTGTGTGTTCTTTTGTCGACTCTTGTAATAGATCGCGATCGGCGTTTGATTATCATTAACATGCAACTATGATTTATAGCTGATCCGCATCCAGGTAATGTATTTGTTAGACCTCATCCTAAAAGGCCAAAGAATTATCAGATTGTTTTGATCGATCATGGATTATACGTGGAAGAATCTGTAGTCTTCCGTCACCAATATTGTTTATTCTGGAAATCCGTAAGTACCGCGAAAGACAAAAGAGTTAATTACAGTTTTTATTTGTATCATTTACATTTCTCTCATTTATTTTTTTTTTAAAAAAAATGTAATTAGCTTTTTATGATGGATACTGATATGATCAACCAAATATGTCACGAATGGGGTATAAATGAACCAGAATTGTTTGCGAGTGCAACGCTGATGAAACCGTATAAGCAAAAGACAGCACTTCACATCGCTTCCAATCAACGCATGTCTATACAAGATGCATATAAGCTGCAAATGGTATTAAAGGAGAGAATAAAAAAATTTTTATCAAACACAGAATTAATTCCAAGAGAATTGATTTTCGTGGGGAGAAATATGAATATAGTCAGATCACTTAATAGAGAATTGGGCAGTCCAGTAAATCGTATAAATGTCATGGGAACCTGGGCGGTAAAAGGGTTAGGTTCGGATTGGTCAAATTGGGGTGGTAATGCAAAAACTTTTGATGAGAAACATCGGCAATTAATAGATAAGGGAAGTAATTTCTCTGGATTTTTCGGGCAACTTGCTTTTATATTACAAAGTAGGTATAATTATTGGTTATTTAGAGGTACTTTATTAATGATAAGTATAGGATTCTATTTAACTAAAATAAGAGAGTCTATTGGAAGTTGGATATATGGTAGGGGCGATTCAAGAGGGTTTGAAGAAATCTTGGATGATAGAATGAAACAAACTATTGAAGAAAATCTTGGTATTGTACTTGATCAAAATGTTTTTGAAGGTTAAGTTTACCTTTATATTTAATAGATTGTCATAGACAGTTTAAAATACATTATTATGAATTTGATTAAATAGTAAATGACACTTTTAAAATGTAATCTTGCAAACTACAAAATTATGTATTTTTGTAAATGTTATTATTAGAAATGTTATTATTAGAAAGAGTTTTTATTTTTTATTTAAATTAATTATCTTCAATTTATTCTAAATATTTTTAAACGTCCCATTAGAATTATTTCATTCATTTTAATATTTTTTTTTTTTTTTTCGTTTTAAAATTCATTGTAGTTAATATAATTCAGATTTAAAGCTTATTATCTTTAACTTGTGCACCAATTTTTCTAACTGTTGCATCCTCAGGATCATCAATCATAAATCCATCAATTCTTTTAGCAATTTCTATGCACAAGTCTTCTAATTTATCTTTAATATTTTCTCTAGCGAGGAGACTAACCACTACCCATCTTTTATCATCAGACCATTTAGGGTAACTACCAATTTTAATTCCCAAATCCTTAACTTTTTCGTGCGTTTCAGTTAATACGGGGGCGATAAAACTTTCAGGACGATAGGTTTTAATAAATTTTCTGTAAAATCTTTCACCATCTTTATCGGTTTGCCTCGCTTTTAAGTAATTACTAAACGCGAATAATAACCCATTGAATAGTTGAGGAATACCGGGTAATATATGAATATTGTCATTAACTATCACTATCGGGACCCAAAGTTTTTTGTTTGGGTATATAATGGCGGATGGATCAGGAAATAATGCCATTCGTTGACTTGCATTAGCCACCTCCTGACTTTGTTCCGACATCATGACCTTTATCGAAGGTGTGTTGTTTGTGAAGTCTTTCATACGATCGAGCGTTTGTTGATGAAGGGTTAAAGAAAGATTAAATGCTTTAGCGATCGAAGGGTACGTTATATCATCATGCGTTGGCCCTAAGAACGATGATTTAAAAGAAAAGATGTGATTATTATTATTATTATTATTTTGAGGAAATTTGATTCAAGTTACCTATTCCTCCACTAGTAACAACAAAATCAAAATCGTTACTAAGTCGTCTCACAGCTTCAATAATCGTCTTTTAAAAATAGTTATTAAAGGTTAGGAAACCGAACCCACGTTGAAAAAAAAAAAAAAAAAAAGAGAAAATTTTATCATTTGTACATCTTCCTCATCCGGTATGACTTCAATTCTCTTTAAATCAATTCCATGTTCATAACAAAATTTCGCTATAAGAAAAAAGATTATTAAATCTGCAAAAGTAAAAAAAAAAAAAATTTAAATCATATCTACCTACCAAAAGAAGCGGAATTTGTATCGACCGTTTTCCCGTTAAGAATTTCGTCACCAATAATAAGACAAGCGGAGGTTTTAGGAAAAGGTTTGAATCGTGTTTCCGTAACGGGTGTCGTAGGTAGGATGAAAGCGTTTTCTCTTTCTGATTTAATTTGCTTCAATCGTCGTTCTTCAGACATTATGCGAGATGAAACGTGAAATTTTCTATTAAAACGATTATTTCTGATTAACGAGTCAATCTCAATATTTCTTTTTATTATTTGATACTATTATAAGAAAATAATAATAAATAACATAAGCAGTAAAAAAACATTAAAAATTAAAAATAAAGTTTAAAAGCTTACGAAACCGAATCTTGTACAAGATCGAAAAAATAACATTTTTAAATAAAAAAAGGATCGACGTCGTTTTTTTAAATGCTTATTGCGAATTATAGATAAATCGGGATTCGCATCCATAACCAATCAGAAATTGATCAAGATTGGTCATTATCGTTATTTGTTTGTATGCTTGCATTAAATAGGATTAAATAATGTATAGTAATAAAGTATTAAGATAATATAATATATTAAGATATAATAATATGGATATATTTAGTTATATTCAATACTGTACAACGTTTTTTTTTTTTTTTTTTGTATCAATTCAAGAAAAGATTCTTTCTTCCATCCACAAAATCACTATAATCCGTTAAGATTCTTTTTCTCTCGTCATGCATTAAGTCATGCCTTACCTCTTCCAAGATATCGATAAATGATTTTTTTAAGATCTCCTGATCGTCGTCTTCGTTCACGATACTTTTGGAGCTTGAATATTCACCGCCATTTGAATTGCAACGACATTTTTCTTGCGTAAAGTAAATAGGGGAGACTCGAGTTGAGAAAAGCAGATGTTTAAGTCGTATATGTTGTGAGAATTTGTTGCATAATACTTTGCGCAAGATACTTTCCGAGTTATCATGTTTCGTGATTGATTTCAAAACAATCTCATTATCAGGATTCAAATCACCTAATTCCATTTGACTTTTCGCAACCTTGTCTATAAAATTAAGGAATTTCTTTTAATAAATCTGTAAATAAAAAAAAAAGAAGTCTTGAAATCATAAATGTTCTTTTTTTCACTTACAGTACTGTTTTGCGTTAAGCCAAATTTTATCATCAATTTTCATTGCTGCTGAATAAGAAAGATTGAATTCATGGTAACATATGGGTGGCTTCTCATGAATCTCCCCGTTATCATTACTCTAATAGTAAAATTATTTCGTTCAATTGAACGTTATACTTTTTAATATCTATATAATCGGTAATAAATGTGAATATTTTGTTCACCTTGTTAAAGTAGGACATAATTTGTGGGATGACGTCAGAAATTTCAACTCCTTGAATGCATGCCGTAGCCTTAGCAGCTTTACATTCATCATCGATCCATGAACGTGACCTTTCATATACGTTAAGCCAAATGATAATGATATCCAAGGTTTTTTGATCAAAGAGTGTTCGAAGACGTTTTAACAAAGCGGTAACGATGCATATTGGAAAGATGGGCTCCGAAGCGAGAAACACGTTGACATTATAATCGTATGCCCAGCAATTGACGGCGACATCATTAACAAGCCTAACGATTGGTGTTATATTTGTGTGATCTTGAAAGTCATGAAATAAAGCTTGAAACCCGTGCGCGTTACACTCCTCATTTGAAATATGATTGGTTAGGTCATAATTGAATGAAATGAACAAAGCAACGTTACGAATTGGTTTCGATTTCTTTATCGTGATAAATTTATCATTTGGCAAGTTCGAGAAATCAAGTTGAATGACCGGGTCATGTATGGTTTTCTGCGCATCATTGTTGCATTGTTCCCTTCCGCGGTTATGATGATCAAGATTGGTAGCAATGAAATGTTTCATTCCCAATGAGGCATTGTGTAGGTGGGGGTCATTATTTTCTTCAACATTCAAATTTGGCAAAACCTTTGATTCAGTCTCTTTACATGAATTGATTACAGTTTTTTGTTCGTTGCATTGTCCTAAAATACGAAGGAACAATAACTTTATTTTAGCAAAGAATAAAAACAATCACAAAGCATTAGAAATAAAACGATCACCATATTCATCATCGGTATGGTTGTCATTTTGAGGATGCAAGAGTAAACAAAAGTCGTACGAAAAAGAATCCATTGAGGATTAGGATAAACAAAGGAAGAAAGGTTTTTGAGGGTTGATCGACATAAACAGCTGCTTCAAATATACTTATTTGTTGTGACGTAATTTATTCTCACAGTAGACGAAAAAAGTAATTGGAAACAAGTATCCCATATAACTGCTAAAGCGGGAATGGTGATTTTATTTCTCCGATTTCATTCAACATTGTATATATATACATATTTTCTTTCTTTTGCGATTTTATAAATTTTTCTTTATGAAATAATTTGTTATAAATTTCGTTACGTTTATGTTTATCAATCTCTAATTCGAATTATAGTAATCTTCTGAATGATTAGTAACTTGTTAACAAATTCTATTGTTTTCTCGTCAAAATCACGATCGATCTCAGAATAGGTCACAGTATAATTTAATCTATTGTACCAAAGAAATAATTTTTTTTCTCGTCCTTTTTTTTTTAGCAGAGGAATGTTGCGATGCGACCGAATGGAACGATAAAATATAATTCCTTTAATCAAAAGTTTTTATACTCATCAACCAGCCTCATTAACCCACAATTCATCTTCAATAGAATTTAGATTCGCGTAGGGTATCCGTATTTTCAAGTTTGGAAAAGGAGGTTCAAAAGACATTGATGATTCGAATTTTTTTTTTTTATGTGCAAACCGACTCGCAAATTCTTTATTGAGCCAATGTAAAAGAGAACAAAAAATACAAAAATTTTCTATCTAATAGACTAAGCTAAATCGATAAGGCCACAACCTAAGAAAAAAAAAAGAAACATTGAAGATATGCAATGGTAATGATCTAACTTTCTAACTTAGATCATCCAACATAAACAATTTGGTTATTGATGGTGAAATGCCTATGGTGTACGTGATGAGGGCCATGGTGAATGCGTAAGTTGCACGTGACATATCATCAAGGACTTGATGAAAATATTGATATTTATTCATCATTTAAAGAATCGTTTATGGATAAACATCGTCGAATACTAAACTTTCTACTCTCCTAATAAATGTGCTTTAACCGAAAATTATGCCATCGATCATAGTTCGTAAATAGGACGATAAATGTATTGCGCAACATTTCTTATTGTAATCGAACAAAATATTGTTTATCCTTTGAGCAAAGATCCCGTTTTTGTTCGAATCGATAATTTTTATGGAGATTCTATCGACAAACACGATGAAAGGTTATGTGATATTGTTCTTTTAAATTATTTGATTAACATCAATAAAGCATATATTGGATTGATAGCAATTTTAAATTTAGACTATCTTCCATATTTCTCGATTATAAAATATAATTACTCTTGGTAAATAAGAATCGGTTGTATTGAACATGTTATTTTTTATTTTATTATACGGTATAGTTGTGTGTGTAAATAAGTTTGATAACATGTTAAAAATCACATTTAACAATGCCGTTTATTATATTTTAATTCTCACAAAATAAAATTATTTGATTTATTACAAATACAGTAAATAAGTTCTATACATTCTAATTTAATTCCAGAAAAATTTTTTTTTGAATCTATTTCTAACATGAATCGGTAATCTTATCGTTTTATTCATAAATTCAATACATCTTCAATACATTGTCATCTTATTAAAGTTGAGAGGATTAGATTCTTCAATATTCGCTTTAACGATCTTTTTTTGATATTAAATGGAAGAATTTCTAGGAAAATCAGGTTCCGAGAATTTTTAACTAAAATTAAGAGCTTAATGCATTTTAATCTAATAACATCAAAAACTAAAATACAATAAAAATTTCAATTTTGATAAAAAATTACCGGAACCTGATTTTCCTAGCAATCAACCCAATGGTAATTTCCATAGTCTCTGATCGCCTAAAATTTTGTCTCTGAAAAAGAAATATACCGTGGGACCTGACCTATATAATCAACAAACAATAAGTAAGAATTGTATGTATGAGATCAGTGATAGGCCGTTAACCTCCTCTATCCATGCACAGAGGTACAAATTCGCAGTGAACTG